TTTAATAAATGTTTTACCAAATAATATTTTAGAATAAATGCCTATGTGGCAATAAGCTTTTGATGTTTTTAAATAAAGGGCAATAGAACCAAACATAGGAATGGCAATGGGATGGGGATCATATTCCCAGTCCCCGACCCTGATTTTGAAACAAATCCCCATCCCTAGTATCAATCCCCGATAGGGATAAAAGTTTTCCTCCGATACATGGAACATGTACAAATCACGTGTTCCATTTCTTTTCGTATGTATTGGCCACGGGCCCGTATCGAGCTGTTTCGGATCTGTATTGGTTGATACAAGCACGAAACAAGCCGATACAAACTGAATCGTTTCAATTCCTCTTGTTTCATTAATTTCATTAATTTATATTTAATATACCGATTCTCTCTCATTAATGTCGTTTATTACTCCTATATTTAAGTCTAGCGTTTCCATTAATTAGTTAATTAATCCTATATTTAAGGCAAATTTAAATTTAAATTTGAACTTTAGCGCATAATTATAATTCTCTCATTAATTCTATTAATTAATGATTATTTATCTCATTAATTTTATTTTGTTAGTGTAAAAACTACAAATATTAACAATAGCAAGACTTAAACCTTGGTCACTAGATTTTAATGCCCATAATTTCACCACAAACCACTATGATTTGTTTGTTGTAGTTATATGCATTTTTAGTTTTAAGTCAATTTTCTCTTTTCTTAGTGGTGCTTATTAATAAATGTTGAAATCAATTATTAAAATTTTATATACTAATAAATATTAAGATAATTATATTGGTTATTTGAAAATTGATGTATATACATTCACATTTTAGTTATTCCATCATTTTCAATGGTTACTAATTATATCTCGATATGTCACATTTTATATAAACATTAAATTATGGTTTTTTTACATTTAAATGACTTATTTACAATCATATAAAACTTGTAAGTATTGTTAATAATATATTTTTTATGATTTATTAGAATTTTCTAATATATTTATACGTATCTTGATTTTCGTCTATATCCATGCACATCCAAAACATATTCCGATACGTCTCTTAAAACTATCTTTCCGATATATATTGCATTTCTGATACTTTGAACCTTGCATCCTCAATCCCCGATGGAGACAAGTTCCCTATAGGGACCCAAATCCTTAAAATTTGTTAATTAACAATGTTTTTTGAAAAATAATTCACTTAAAATAAAAATGAGAAAAATGGTTGTTCATTTCCTTTTATCTCTTATCTCTTAAAATGCAATCATACAACTTTTTGTTTTCTAATGATACTCTAAAAAAGACAAGAAAAAACTCTCTGATCAAAATGGATATTTGATAATTTTCAGAATATAGAATTCAGAATAACATTACGTACATTCACCGATACAAATATACCTTTTAATGTAATTATTGAAATTTTAGATGCCAGACTAGAATAAATGAACAGGCCCTTCATTCCTCATCCCGACCCTGACTTCAGTTAGGTATACCTATTAATCCCCATCCCCGTCCCCAACTTGCCAAAGCAATTCGCATTAAGGAAAATTATATACCCAGCAGAAATCGGGGAAAATTTTCATCCCTAACCAAACACCATCCGAATTACCCCGTAATATAATCCCTAGAAGAAAGGCCATTCCCGTCCGACCAAACCCTCTCGCGCCCCTTCTCTCTCTCTCTCTCTCAGACACGCACAGTTTTCGGCTCTTAATCCTCTTTGACCTTCATGGAACCTCACAGAACTATTGCGTGCAAGAACCCGAGTAGGTGTTTTCTTGTAAAAACTGTCGCTGTGCGCAGTCTTGAAATGCCTGAATGGAGTTGTTAAGCAGAGAAGGACCTTGGAAAACTGTTTCCGATAAAAAAGTTATATAGATTCAAAACCTCACAAGAAGAGAAAGATGATTCTGTAAATAAAACAATCAGAAGCTGCATCGGTTAACCCAAACAGATCCTTATCCGTAAAGAGCAGGTACGTATAAAAAAGTTTTGGTTCTCCAACCAAGAAATTAAAAAACCCCTAGATACTCAAAATCGTATTGTGAGATCGAACATCGATCCGGTTATGAGACTGCAAACCCTAAAAATACTGCCTCAAAATTTGAGTAAACTCCTGAATCTCATTGTCAACCTCGGTTAATATATGCGAAAATTTCCAGGTGGATTGAAACTATGAAGCTTTGTAGCGTACAAATTAGTAGTATTTCTTTTTTCTTTTCTTCTTTAATCCATATTTTAGAAATTCTGTTCTAGTGATTTACATATAAAATTAATACCTGTTAAATTTAGAGGTATTTAGCGTTGAAATTCTGCTAAATTTGGCGGAGCTTGCTTACACTAGAGAGACAATCACAATAGATGAGAATAAAGGCGGAAATTAAAGAGAAGATGGCCTCTTTTGTTTTTGTAATAAATCATATAAATCTATTGATGAAAATGAAGACCGAGACCAAAGAAAACTAAATAATAGGTTCATTTTCAAAAAAAAAAAATGAAAACTAAATAATAGGTTCGATTTTTTATGGATTTGGAACAGCAAGAACCGGTCCCAATATAATCAATTATTTATTAAGACATATGTTGCAAAAAATAGAACGGATATTTATATTTATATCTATATTACCTATAAAAGTGAGAATGTCCATTTTTTTCTGGAATTTTCATTGGACATTTTTTATCCCTCTTGTTTAAACATATAATAGGCATAAAGCGGATGTATATGTTCTTTATTCTCATTTTAGAAACTGTCCACTTCTAACTGTTCAGAAATTGCCCACTTATAACTGTTTAGAAACTGTCTATGAATTATAAATAGTTGTCTTAGATATACTGCCATGTGCAAATGCACGTATATATTTATTAGTATGAATTGGAGACAAAATTTTGAATGTCGGATTGGACTAACTATCATGAGTGGGCACAGCCCTATCAGTAACTCAGCCCACTGTACATGATTTTGTCTCCAGCAAATCCGACCTCAATATAATCTACGAAAAAATACAGATAGACCTAATACAAATTTCTGATTTTTACTGCAAAATTATAAACATTCAAAATATCAACAATCCACACTCTATGCATCAACACCTGCCCATAAATTAATATCAATTCCGAACTAATACCTACCCAATAATACTTTGGACCTATAAATTCTGACCTTGAATTGAACCATCATTCTCCCTATAATGTATCTCATTTAAGATAGATCTGACCTATTGACGGCTCTAACAGGAGAAAGAAAGAATCTCTCCGCCCTTATGATGAAATCCATTTTCTAGAGAAGTCTACAATAGCTTACGGAGATAAACATCAACTTACCTTATATATTTACCTTCTACTTACATGCATGCATGATACGTGCCCTTAAACTAGTATGAGGGTCCCACATATACATATACATCAAGTGAGGGTCCCATAGTTATCAAAAAAAAGAGTGAGGGTCCCACGAGATTGTAATGTCCTTTTCATCATCTCCAATGTCCTCACGTAATCTGGACTCGATTCCATCAAGCTCTAGCTGGCTCTAGAAGTTTTACATGTCTCATATTAATTACGAGTTTACGTAAAATACTTGGAGCCCTTCCTATGCTGCCACCTAAAATCTAAATTTGCAGAGAGAGAGAGAGACTCATCGAAACCCATGCATTGGATAAAAAGAGAGAAGAAAAATGCTTCAGCTAGAGAAGACAGTGACAGAAGAAGACAACTGAGGCAATATAGGTTAACAATGAATCAATTAAAAAAAGGGTTAACAAAGTGGTATAGGCGATTTGGTAAGATTAATTGGCTTGAAAATAATGAAAATCATACACTGATAAAAATCAATGGGATGATTTGGTTGAACTTCAGAAGTTTATTTAGAACTTTTAGACACTTTCAGCACTCCTAATTACCAAAATTCAGAACTATCTCAGTGATGACAATCCTCTGATCCAGATAATGATGATGAACATAGTACTGGTATGGCCTAATTAGCAGATTGACTATAATAAAACGTCATTACTAACTAATTTTCCTTCATATTCACCACATTTTTTTTTTATTTCCTAATGAATCCATATACCACTTGAATGAATTCATATTTATCTTACCTTTTCACAGGAAAAAGAAGAAGATTTAATTAGTTGAAGTTTCAAAATAACAATAATAACATCATCATTATAATTATTATCATAATAATAATAATAATAATAATAATAATAATAATAATAATAATAATAATAATAATAATAATAATAATAATAATAATAATGTACGACATTCAGAATTTCAGATGGCAAATATGCAATTTAACCCTATAAATTGTAAGGATGTGCAGTGAAGCTGTACAACTTGGGAGTTCAAAGCTCCACTTACTGTTATTTTTTTCCTTTTTGTCTTTTTGGCTGAAGCCCTAGGGTCCTACCTAATTCTGTTGAAGGCAGGCATAAAATGATTTATACAATTACAGGGTGAGGCAAATTATTTTACAAAGACAATCTCTTGAAAGTAACCCTAATTTTCTCGTTCGTCATGCTTCTGGTTTTGCTGTTCCTTAGATAGTCCTCTTTCTAACATCATCTGTAAGTTATTTATATTGCCATGGAAGAGAAATTCAGTCTGCATTTAAGTTCATTCCTTGATTTGATTGGAAAGACTGATGAATTAATTACTAGAGATGATGGAATTCTCTTACTCTGGTAGGACTGAATTAAATTGTAACTGATCAAAGGTGCTGACGTTCTACCCAAATTAGGGTTAATAATATTGATCATCCCAACAACTTCAAACTACCCTTGAACTTGAATATCAGCATGGATTTTTAACTGCTCAACTCCTAACTAGGGTTAGCAATATTGATCATCCCAACAACTTCAAACTAGAGGGCATGCATGATTTGACTGCAGGCATTTAATTGGCCATTATTCCAACCTAACTAGTAACTATATATTGAAAACAGGAGCTACTAGCAGTCATACATGGAGAACCATGCACATCTGTAGAAGTAGAACGCAATATAGAAATATATGATCAGTCAAAGTCACAAGTTACAAGCCAGAGAAGCAGAAGCGGGCACTGGGGACCAAACCCACAACGTGCATGGATGTGATTCCTTTGAGAACAATCACTGTTCCTGACTTCCTGTATCCCCACCACCTCTTAAGTCTTAACCTAGCTATTATGATTGCCAAGCTTTTCTCTCCAGTCATTAAAGACAGAGTGTCTGAGATTTGATTATATATATTGAAGATAGATAACCAAACAGCACACAGTCTCTGCTGATTCATCCCCAAACACCTGCAGCTACGCCTACCTGCTACCAGGAGCCTAGCTACTACCCTACTTTAAAACCACAACTAGCTAGAGAATAGATTATGTAGATGCTTCAGTTGTAACTGATCTATATTATTGATCTACCACTACTTACCAAATCCAAACATACTAGCCATTGAAGGACTGAAAAGGAAGTGAAGACTGATCAATGAGCCCTATAGCCGGTGTAACAATCCGCGGCTCGTATGCAAAACCATGCAGTCCACCACCACCGCCACCGTCGCTTCCAGTACTGCGGCTTCCTCCTTCTCCACCCACGCTGCGACGGATAAATGGACACGGAGGTATCCATTGCCACGCTTTCCTGTAGAAATCATAGAGCAACACCATGTCTGTTCCTTGAATTGTAATTGTGATGAAATCTCCGTGTCCCACACAGTCAAACCCTTTGCCGGCTTCTGCCTCCGAGAACTGAGCGTATAACTGCTGCGGCATCCTTTCGACCTCCACCCACGTCGTTCCGCAACCTTGCAAGCCCCAGAGTCTCATACTTCTCGGCACGTTCAGCTTACTCTTCTCCACCGCGGCCACCAACACCAGTCTCCCTCGGCACTCTACCAAGCTCGGCGACCGAAGGAACCTTCGCATTGGTGCTTGTATCTTGCTCCACTCATTGGCTGCAATATCGTAAGCCAACACACTGAATGGACTGTAATTCATGCAGTAGAGTCGGCCATTGACGAACACCATTCTCCCGGATTCCAGACTACACAGTCTTGGGAGGGGACAGGTGGTGCCCCAGATGGAGAAGAACCCTCCACCATCGACGTGAAAGCTCTCAGTTGTTAAATTCTTGACGGCAAACTGAGAAATTAAGTCGTCTCCGGCTACGACGACATCGATGGAGGAAGCGCCCACCGTTAGGCCGATCGAAGGGAAGAGCCTGGGTCTTAGTGTCGGAGGCAATTGGGTGACTGTTTTGAGAAGTGGGTTGCAGAGAATTAGGCTCTTGGCTCCAGCGTTGTCGGAGACCCAACAGATCAAACCACCTGAAGAAGACGCTGGAGAGAACCCCGACGGCACCAACTCAAACGGAAGGCGGTACCATGTGCACTCGTTAGGGTCGAAGAGATATCCTTCACAGTTGTCCCTATCGTCGCCACCTCCGCTGTTTCCACTCTTATAGATGTAGCTCTTGAGGCTTTTGTGCTTGAAGAATAGGAACCAATAGCACCGTGGCGATATGTGCAGATACATTTCAAGAAAGCTGTCGGAAAATAGGAGGCTATACCATCGTTTACAGACTGATCTCGCCCGAAAGAAGGCCGGTGGTGGGAGAAAGGCGAGTACTCGATCGATTAGCCTCTGAGGGAGCTTGCTCCATATCCTGCTGTCCATCCAAGGACTAGTAGGGTTAAGAGTAGTAGTAGTGTTGGTGGTGATATTAGTACCACTACTGCAACTGCTTGTCGTTGTAGTAGAAAAGGTAGACATGGGTATGGCTGCGGAGGTGTTGAAGCCCTCCATGCAGAACAAAAGGGAGAAAAGAAAAGGAAAAAAAAAATACAAACAATGCCCTAGCTAGCTACTTAAAACACCAAAGGATCGTATGGGTTTCTCTTTTTTGTGAGGCAGGAGGAATTGGAGGGTGTGGGAATGGCGGTGGAGTTAAAAAGATCCATTCAGAAGGAACGGCTGGCTCTAGGGTTTACTGCTATAAGAAAAGTCAAAAACTGAACAGGGTTTTGTGTTCTTCCTTTTGTCTGCCAAAGGGAGATGGGTATAGTTGTGGAGTTGATAAAAGCCTTCAGATGGAGAGGCTTGGTCTATAGGGATCCCTATCACTGGAAGTCTAAAACTCTATAAAACAGCTGGGTTTCTCACTTTAGATGGAACAGAAGAGAGGGTTATGTAATTAGAAGAAAAGGGTCGCTTCCTGTACCATTACTGATAGAAGTGTAGAACTCCTCTTTGCTGGGATGAGTGGAGTAGTTGCTTGTTTGGTCATTGTTTGGGAAACAAGTGTTTATGTGCTGAGGGTTCAATTGGGTTTCTTTTTTCTCTTTTTATGTTTGTCTTTTGTGGTCTTTCTCTTCTCTTAGCTCTTAGGGGAGAGAATGGAAGTCTGTGTCTGTGTTGCATCTACCCATCTATTCGACCATTCAGTAATCTCGTCAAGGCCGAGGAAGGATGGAGTCGACGGACAAACAGAGAAGACTGAGAGAAGTGCAGTTTAGGGTCTTCAGACTTCACAGAGGTAGAGAGAGAGAGAGTGAGAGAGTGATGAATACAGTAAAAGTGCAGTAAAACTGGTGTACTTGTTCTGTTTGGACACACAACACAAGAATCAACTCAAACTCAAACACAAATATTTTGATATAAACAGGAGCCAGCACAACTCATGCTCCACGGCTCACAGTGTGAAACCCTAAAACCACTACTTTTATCATGTACCAAAATAACGTTACAAGTCCTACAAGAAATGACTAACGTTATCAGAGTAATTCAAAAGGAAAAACGATAATCCATACCATACGCGGGTACACAAATTAAGGATTTGTGAGAAAACCCTTTATAAGTTAATTTGAGAGGAAGATCAGAATGAGGCTTGTTTGTTTGTTTGTGCTGGCTATCTAGTTCTTTTTGCCAAGCAACCTTTTCTGGGTGCTGGGTGCCCAGTATCAGAAGGAAAAGGTCTCTAATCAGAAAAAGTAACAGAAAAAGTCTCTTTCTATAATTATAGTGATTGTAGAGGGCCTTTGGTTTTGTTTGTTGTTCATATTTTGGCCTGGTTTTTGTAAAAGTATTTCCTGGGTTTATTTTGTGTAAGAAAGATACTGTGCGGAATTGTGGTTGACACCATCTCCCAATGCAGTATGTATGACACAACTGAGTTTTTCATACGTCCAATCTAATCTCACTGATGGGCTATTGTGTTGGCGTGAAATACAAAAAGGCTTGAAATCCAGGTAGGCCTAGAGAGATAGAGACAGAGGTGTCCTAAGAAAAAGCTTGCTTTGATCTCTTTCTCTTTCTGGAGTTTCTCTTTTCTATGAATAATAATATTCTCTTTACGTTGTTTTCTTGTCTTTTGTTTGGTTTTGTTACGGGTAAGAAAAAATTCAGTCAGTCCCTCCCCTCCCGCCATGAGTTGGTTGTGTCAACCTTTCAGGGCACTGGTTTCGAATCTTCAGATCTACCATCCGAAAAAGGAAATGGAGAAGCAGATGTTGAACAAAATATAATGACAAGACTTTCACTTCCGAAAAAAGAAATAAATCCATTCTTTTATTCCTTGGGAGCTAACCGGCCTTTGTTTATCTGATACAGTGTTGCTAGCTGCTACCCAGGTCGGTCATGAGCACACACCATCCATCATCTCTACTCTCTACTCTCTGTCTGCGCTTGCTGCTTCTCCTACTCCCATAGGGCCGCATAGGATCCATCCATGGCTGACAACAAACAATCCTGAGGCATCTTTAATTTCATCTTTGCCTCTTTGGTGGGAAGATGGTATATGCATTACAAATTAAGGTCAGAACTCAGAATCAAACATTCAAACCCAAGTTTTAGTTTTATATATGTTCCAAAAGGCAACCCATAGATTAACAAACCTCCTCCTTGGAAACTCATTTGGAAATTAAATCTCTTTTCCTTTTTTTTTTTATCATCAGAATTTGGAAGAACTGAGAAGAGATTCATTCATCTGATTTCGATATAACAATTCTACTGCTAGACAAGTCACCAAGAAAAGATTCATTAAGATATCCCAAGAATCATCCTCTTGGTAATTCTGATGTGGGTCAAACTCTAATAGAGCTATCTCTTTTTCAACAACCCGTCTTCCTCATAGATATGTGTGTAAGGATTCGTTTGCTTTGCAGTTGGAATCAAAGTCGGAATGGTCTGTTTCTATAAGAATGAGATTTCATTTTGAAGAGAGGGGGAGAGAATGTTCATTCTTTCAAATGGGGAAATGCCATTCCAACCAAACAATTGGAATCAGAATTGTTGTTGCCAAATATGAGGCCGAGGGCAACAAGGTATCACTAGTGTCCGAGGCCGACAGGTCCGATCTGTAAATAGGAGAAAAGCATACATCAGAGATCTCGGGTGTAATCCCAGGGGCAGGGAATTCGACGGTCAAGTTAGCCAAGTGCTTAAGAGGGGTTGGACCAAGCAAGAGACGAGAGCTCAGAGCTTAGTCCTTAATAGCTAAGGATGATTCTCTTGGGATTCTGGATATGCTTACATTGAGGTGAGTGCCCCTTTTTATAGCTAACCTTGCCTTAAGAGTGGTTGGTGATGTGCGACTAGGATTCGATTTGGCTGACGCAACATGGCACGATTTAAGGCTCGCCAAGTATCCTTACATCACTTGCCTCCCACTCTCGAGGTCGGATGGCGTGTTGTGTGGAGACCTTGGCTTCGGCCGAAGAGAGTACAATGGAGTTGTGTGGAGGCGTTAGCCTTGGTTGCAGAGGACTCTTCTTAGCGGCTATGTGGCAACTACTATTTTGTTCGCTCTCCGTTTCATTGGAGGATCGTTATGGGCCGAGAATGCGTGGCCGTGAGTGTGGGACGTCCGCGTTAGTCGGCCATGCCCCGTACGGCTGTCGACGTCATCCGGTGCAAGTCCGTACATGGGACGGGCGTTGGTGTTGACCGGTCGAGGCCATATGCAAAATGGTGTGGAGGGGCATCCGATTTGGGTTGTTCTTGGTCTGGAGCTAAAAGGCAAACCGACTCAATCCTTCGGCATCATTTTGTCTTCTTGAGGTTGATGCCACATGTAGCCTATTGATTCGGGATGTCAGATCAGTTTGTCCGTGGCCATTGGATAAAAGAGACATGAGCCATGCATTTTCCTTTAAATAGGGACGTTGGTTGAGCGAGTCTTCACCATTTGCTCAAAACCTTGAGTCTTCACCTGTGATTGCAGAGACCTTGGCTACCAACAACCGATTCACTAAGTCTTCTTTCTTCAAACAAACACTAGGTAAAGGACTCCTGTCTTCAACATGTCGGCCTCAAACTCTGGACCTGAGTGCTATGCCCTTCCTGACTGGAGTGGCCCTAGTAGTTCTCCTTCCACCTCGGCTAGTAGTGGGAGTTATAGTAGTGACTACAAAAGGACCGTCCCATGGGGTTCAAGTGCGACCAACGGTGTGTAGGCTCTCCCGATGAAAGTATTGGCTCCACGAGGCCAAGGGCCGACGCCACGGGGAATGCTCCCGAGCTTCCTGAAGTGGTGGAGCTGGAGGAGGTTGAGGAAGCTACACCCGAGGAGCAGGTCGAGGCGAGACATTGGTGCCTCACCCCCGCTCTGACTTCGATAGTGAGCTCGACAAAGAGCAAGTGAGGGCTTTGTCCGAGATGTACAATATCCCAGGGGGCTATTGGGTTAGAGTCCCTTGTGCTGGTGACCGGCCGTGGCATCCCACCAAGGGGGAGGTTTGTGTACACTAGCTCTACCTCCACTTCGCCCTTCGTTTTCCCTTACCTCCCCTCATCCTAGAAATCCTTGACGACTATAGTATTTCCTTCAGTCAGCTTTCTCCGAACACCATTAGGACCATAGTGGCCTTGTTGGTGATGGTCTACCTTCGAGATGTGTCTGTGACCCTGAAAATCTTTCGGTGTTTGTTCGCATTGAGGAAGCATCTTGACGGGGAAGGTCTGTGGTACTTCCAAGGCCGATGGGGTTGGGTAGTGGACAACTTGTCGTTCATCCATAACTGAAAGAAGAAGCTTTTCTTTATTAGCTGTGCATAAAAATGGTCCTTTCGGTCTGACTGGGGAATGCTAGACTCGTTGGCTGAGAGGATCAGGCCGTACAACAACGAGGAGGAGTCGGCCGCGATGAATTGAATTCGGCTGATTGTGATGATTCATTCCAGACCCTTAGTGGCAGAGGAGGCCTTGGTGTTGGCTGGCCTCAATCCTGCCCCCTTGGTATGGGCACTCTTAGTGTAGTCTAGTTGTGTGACTTGTTTAGTGTTCATTTATGTTCTTATAACATTGGTCATCTTTCTTGGTTGCGGAGATGGATGACGTCTTGAAGGAGAGACTACTACAACCTGCGATGGTGAATTCTAGGAAGGGCCTGACCGAGGGGCCTTCACGGAAGATGAGTGAGAGAGAACCGCCTTGGACAAAGGGGAATGCCGAGGCCTAGAAGATAAAGGTGGCCACACCCAAGCGACTAGCCTCAAGATCCAAGGGCGAAGAAGGTTGCGGTGAGGGACCGACGAGCCAAAGGCACTACTAGGGGGTCTCGGTAGTCGGGGCCTCACTCCTTGGACCTGCGGGATGACATTCTGTTGGCAACACGACAAGTGTTCCGCTCAAATTGGAGTGTCAGGGAGGGCAAGTCTCTATGTAACGCAGGCGTTGGCCGCGCATTGATCATTGGTATGCTTTCTATTGGGGATTGCCAGTCGTGGACCCAGGTCTCCCCTAAGCTGTCGACGACACACTGCTCAACAAGCTGGTCGAGGTAAGGCTGGTCCTTGCTTTATGATACTGCTTTCTACCTTAGATTTTTCTAACTAACATGAAATCCTTATATCTTCACAGACACCTTCTTGCATTGTTGACCTCTACAACAAGATGGAAGTAATGATATAGCAGTTGCAGACGTCGCAGGAAGAGATTGAATAGCTGATGCGCCAGATGGTCGAGGAGCGGGCTAGCTGAGAGGCCACTACCGAGATGGCTCACGGGGAATACAATGCCGTAAGAAGCTTGAGGCCAAAGTGGCAGCCAAGAGAGAGCAGTTGAGGGTCGCCAGGGCCTTACTAGACGAGATGAATCAAAAGCTTCAGGAGGCGTTCACCCGAGCTGTGTAGGAGTATAACTCCTCAGAGGCCCACATGGAAGAGTTGGTCGAGTTCGGCGTCTCTTCCTATCCGGAGGGGATCGAGGATACCTGGGCTCAATTGCTGGCGTTCTTCCCTGATTTTGATGTCAGCCAGCTGGGTCCTTGCCTTCTGAACCAATAGGTAGCTGAGGTGGCGGGCGTAGCTGAGGGCCAGGGTAGTGCTCAATCGCCCACACAATAGGGGGTGGCGCTGACGAGCATGTTAACATTGAGGCCAAGTGAGGATGCTTGCTTAGGGCCGACGTTTCCTTCTTCAACGACCTTTGGACATAATTTTTGGTTCTTTTTCTTATTTTTGATATACTTTTTGTAAGGGGCTCAACCGCCCCCCCCCCCCCCCCCCTTCAGAGGCTTCTTTTTGTAAAGAAAATTGAATGAATAT